ATATTGTCAATAGTTCACTAAATTGTATTTATTTTGTGTGCAGTGACTTTGCTTATGTGTAAAATTCAGGAAGCCCATTGATTTATGGGATATTATGGGCATTAGGATGATTTTTGAGATACTAACTTGAATTTAAGAAGTAAAGCCCTAAAAGAAACCAAAATACTTCTGAATTCCTTAAAATACCTCAAGGACTATATAGGTCTCAGAAAATAATCTGTTAGTAGCATTTACATTTGACATTTCATTATTACTAATTGAATCTCTTGATACGTTGACATTTGTCTTGATTTAGAAAACATCCTTACAGACCTAGGTTAGTCCATCCAGTTAACAAACATGCAGAGTCCCTAATTTGTGCAAGGCCTGGGGACCTAATCCTTAGAGCTGTCCCTTGCCTTCATTTCTAGAGTCAAAGGCTGCAGGCCACATCATTATCCTCCAAGACTGGAGGCCTCCTGTGTGGCTGTGCTGTCCTAGAATTGCTATTCACCCCACCATTTGTTCACATGCTTTTCTTTCTTTGGAGAAAAAAAAAAAAAATTAAGATTTTTTTATTTGCTATGTATACAGTATTCTGCCTGCATGTGTGTCAGCAGGTCAGAAGAAGCACCAGATCTCATTACAGATGATCATGAACCACCATTTGGTTGCTGGGAATTGAACTCAGAACCTCTGGAAGAACAGTCAGTGCTCTTAACCGCTGAGCCCCCTCTCCAGCCCCTGGAGAAATTTCTGGAAAGCAAACACTATCTCACTGGGTGTCGCATTCGTAGCATGGTGCACATGCATCTGGGCATTAGCATACAGTTCGCCGTAATACCCATTCTATAGATAAGAAAACTAAACCTTGAAAATGTGCTTGCCACTCTCAATACTATACATTAATAAGTAAGTAGAACCCATCCTAGCCTCCTTCGAGCTCTCTTCCTTAGACTACCATGTCACACCCTACACAACCATTGGAAGAATAAAACAAAGGTCTTAGATGGGCTCCAGGAACCTCAAATTCAGCATAACTCAGAGTCCCCCCTCTGCTCTTCTTGAACAAAGAAACTCAGTGCCCAATCAGCTTTCTCTTTCCCTGTAAAAGACATCTGGAGTGCTTAGAAGGGAAAAACACAAGCCATATTCTACTTTTGCTTCCTATTCTCACATCTAATCAATCAATATATTTAGGCAATTATAATTTTCAAACTTAGTGTCTCTCCAGTCTCCTCCACGAGTGAAGCATCATCACCTATCACCTAGTGTACTCTATCTCCACAGACTCAACCTGGCCAAGCTTTCCTCTAATTTCTTCTTTATCTTTTAAACATGGTCATTTATTATAGGAGAGAGAGAGAGAGAGAGAGAGAGAGAGAGAGAGAGAATGTGTCCTACACATCAGCATATATACAGGCCAGGGGACAACTTTCAGTCAGTCTTTTTTTTTCCAGGGACTGAACTCAGGTCCTCAAGCTTATACCCATGGAGGCATCTTGATAAAGCTAGGGTGTTTTTAAATATAATTCCATATATGAAACTCATCTAGCTAATTAAAGCACTTCCTAAATTCCCATTACCCAGAGGAAGAAGACCAAAATAACCTTGTCATTCAAAACTGCCCAGGCTCCAACCTCTCCCACATCTTTCAGCTTCTTTATTCTACTCTGCTATTCAACACTCTTCCCTTTGTATGCTGAATATGCAGTTCCTTTCCCCTAAAACCCTATTTACTCTACTCTAAGCAACTCCCATATCCACCCCAATTACTCCCTGATCACTCAAGTCCCTTCAAGTGCCACTTCCTACAGGAAACCTTCCCTGATTGCCCCAGAAAAGGGAGCAGAGTCATGGTGGGTACTACATCCTATCTTTCAATAGCCTGGGAAAAAAGCGTATATTACGCTTGAAATAATTCAATGCAAGGGGAAACATTTCTCTTCATTGATTTACCATGGTGCTTATCATAATACTTTGTCAATTGACATTTGCTGTCAGAATAAGTTTCAGGCTTTATCATGAAGGATTATAACAAAAAGCCAAACAAACCAAGAAGCAAGGATTGGTGCCCCTTTGCACATATACAAACTTAGGCAGAAATTTACAGTTCTTGAAAGTCATAAGGACAGCAGTGACAGAGCCAAATCTAACCGCTCATCTCATTTCTCCTCCCTGTGTCATTAAAAACCCCAGTGTGTGAGGGAGCATTGCAGAAGAAAAGAATTAGTAATGCAAAGTGGTTCAAATAAAGTCTCATTCCCTGGTCACATACGCTGACTTCAAACGGACAATGGACCTTAAATGCCTGGTTAAGTAAAGAGGAGATACAGCTGCTACCACACCCAGCTCCCAGAGAGAGCATCAAACTTCTTCCCTCCACAAAAACAAAATGGCAGGGACTCCCAACTACCTGAAGAAACACAAGAGCAGTTTGCCTGCCTGAACTGTTGCTTAGCTTCTTGCTAAGGGATACACTGTTTTCCCACCACTCACTGGAATAGGGATAGGATAAGAAACAAAAATACTAAATGAAGCAGAAGCTACTTAAGACTACTTCTTTAGGAATTATGACAACATTTTGTTTAAAGCATTTTAAAAAACTGCTAAACCACGGGGACTTCTTAGCAGGTGCCAAGGAAAAAAAAGTACAAGAGCTCCAAAGCTGCATTCATTGTCCATATACTCGTGGGCCCAGGTTATGTTTGCCATGAAAACCACAATCCCAGCCCTGGATCAGGCTCACTAGTGTAATCCTGCCAAGCACAGACTCCAAGAAAAAGAAATGCTAGAACCTCTTCAAAGAGGACTCTGAATAAAGATTCACACAGAGCCTACAGGGTTCCTTCAGGGAGGGGAGGATGAAGGTGTGGAGGGATGTACAGAGCTTACAAAGCGACTTAGAAAAAGAGATGTGATACTCTTCTAACACTGGGGAGATCCTACAAAAAGAGAGAAAAACCAGTATTTACTACAATGAGACAGGAAAAAATGGAATTTGAAGAGATGTGAAGGGGATAGGGAGAGAATGAAAGGCATAGAAGGGAAGGGTGGAGTGTCACCACCATTGTATAGGAAGAAGCAAATACAGACTGTTGATCTTTTCCCAAATCTAAATACTACTCATTACACTCCAATAAATCCCTCCATTTACAAAGCCCATACAATGGACTGCCCTACCCCAGCAGCAATATTGGAGACCGCATCATCTAAATTAAAAATGGATAAAATTGGTTCATAGAAGCTAAACACAGAGAGTAATGGCTTTTCACCGAAAGCCTGACTCAGCTATGAAAAGCTTTAGCGTTTTGGAGTTAAGTAAATATTCTGGCTTTTCTCCTTCTTTTGACATTCCTAGAGGGGGTGTGGTTGATCTAAGTCCATTCATTTCCAAGGTTGTACATCTCCCAGCTAAGACTGGCCCCAACTGTTCTGGAGCCAGCCAGCTGTTTATCTCAAAGGAACATATTTATTGCAGTGTTTATCCCTGTAACTCTTAAAAGAGGAGAGCCAGCATCATACAAGCCAGAATGTTGCCTGCCTTATTAAATGTGTCAATTCGTTGAAAAACAAAATTCAAGCAAAAACAAAAACACAAAACACACTACCACGCTCCGTGGTTTCCCTGGTCAGGCTCAGTGTTCTTGGATACCTTTCAGTGATGGCCAGTAAATGGTGGTAGCGCGTCTAACTTTTCCTTTCCTTAAAAAAAAAAAAAAAAAGTATGCAGGTTCCTTAATCGATTCCGTCTACAAACCGTTATTTGTGAGTGGAGACTAAGCCTCAGGAAACCGCAGCTAGTTACAGTACCATTGTCAGTGACAAGAGCCGATTACGATGTAATTTAAAACACTCAGACAAGCACATATCTATCAGTTCCACTTCCAAACAATCCTGAATCCCGCAGTCGGGAGAACGCAAAAATAAAAATAAAAAGGTTAACAAAAATGCTGCTTCTAGCAGCCTAAGCGAACCTTCCCTAAACACGTGAAATATTTCTGACTGGCACGGAGTACACCATTAAAGGACACTGTCGCCTCAAATCATCAGAGGAAAAAAAAAAAGCGAGACAAACGACACAGGCATAAAACATGAAATGCAGCCCTACGAAACAAACTTAAGCGACTCAAGAGAAACATGCTCATCTTAAAAATAGCGTGTGCTAGTCCAAGCGACACAAATGGTCTAAAGAAGTACGGCCACGTTAAATCACTGTCTCCATTTCTCCCCACACATCACCCTTTCCCACTCAAATCTCAGCCCTGGGGCCGTGGAATGACAGGACTGCAGTCCGCCTCCTTTGCCCTCCTTATGTTTTCCAAGCGCACTTCCCAACATCCTTCCCAGCCCAGCCCCCTCTCTCAGCCTCAAAAAGGTTAAAGGGAGTTGAGGCGAGGAAATTGGCAGGCACCAGTCCCCTGGCGGGGGCAGGTTGCAGGAGTTGTTCTTTGCAGTGACCCAAATTGCACAGAGAGATTTAGCCCTTAGCAGCGCCAGTGAGAACCTCCCAAACCCATACCCCCATTCCCGGCCCCATCTTCTCAAAAGAAAGCCTTGAGAACTAAACGGGCGGAATAACTTGGGAGAACGATTTGAACAAATCACTTCAACTCACCTGGTTTGGGATTTTTCTCCCCACCCCAGGCATAAACAGAAATGATAAACGAATGAGTCACGCACGCAAGGGAAGGTGCTGCGGTGTCTTAAGTCCAAGGACTGGAGTCAGTCCCTGCCCTGGTCCTGCAGCTACTCAGGGCTCAACTGGAGCGAGCGGCAATAGCGAGCCCAGCAGCAGCAGCAGTGGGGGGGCATGGGGGGGCGGGCAGACTGTAGCACAATGAATGCAGTGGGGTTTTGCAATGACATCATCCCTCTGATCGAGCAGCCCCAATAGCCATGCTCCAGAGCTGTGCATTCTGGGATCTGTAGTCCTCTGAAGTCCGGGAGAGACGCGGAGGCTACAGCCCGAACTACAATGCCCAGGATGCTCCGGTCGGAGCGCCCAGAGAGGGACTGGACCGGCCGCCATGTTGGAGCTCAGGAGCTGCGGCGAGCTGAGGTGTCGGTGGCTTCTTGGAGCTTAAAGGTGGTTGGTGAGGATGGTGAAGCGAGGACATAGGGATTGCTATCCTCGCGCACCGGCTAGGCCTGGATGGAGGGTACACTGGGCACGGGCAGGGCGGTCGGGCCAGAAATGGCTTCCCGAGTCAGAGTGAGCCTCAGCCCTGCTTGCACAGGGCCTCACCACCCGGGGACACAGGGAGTCGCTGCTTTACTTCTGAGCGTGGAGGACCCTTTAGACTTCCTGACAGGACTGTCTGGGCAGGTGTCTTTGTGAGGTGCGGGGACTCGGGACGGTGGGCCTCACGCCTGCAGGACGAAAAGCCCGGTTGCACCCCGTGAGTGAGCTAAGCCTAGGTCTAGCCGTTTGTCTTGCCGCTCTTCTCCGTCCCTCATGCTCCCTTCCTCAGGTGCCGGACACTCGCCCCACCGCTGAATTTTCATACAGTCGTAATTCGCAAAGGGCCTTAAAGAAACCATTGGTAGATAACAAAAAGCCCTGAAAATAAGAAAGAAGGAGCTACTAAAAGAAGTTAACACCTAATCTTTCTTACCCTTCCGCGAAACCGAAAGATAGTGAAAAGGTTCTACAAGTGAGCAGTCTTCACTGCGACCAACGCTGAATGACCTGTGCTAAAATACTGCGGATGCTCGAGGTTGATATTCATGGATCACTAACTTATAATTTCTTCTTTTGTTACGGTATATTTATTGTGCAAAATAATGTGTTTCGTTGTGATATCCTCATGCAGATAACGTTAGCGCATTAAGCATCCCCTTCCCTTACCCATTTGGTACCCTCACCAGATAAAATGCATTCAGTTTTTTTTTTTTAAATAATTTTTTTATATTAATCACAGGTTATTTACTTTGTATCCCAGCTGTGGCCCCCTCTCTCATTCCCTCCCAGTTCCACCCTCCCTCCCTCATCTCCTCCCTGCCCCCAGTGTCTTCTTTGGAGTACTCCAAATGTACGATTACTTAAAGAATTTTTGAGCCTTTTTTTTTGGCAACTCAAATTAACCATTTCTCCCAGGAACTAAAATAGTACTGTGTGTTTGTTTTTCAGATTCTGAAGTTCATTATGGAAAGATAGGAAAGTTTACTTCCTCCTGAGGGTCTCTGAAAAGCTAAAATGCTGATATACATTATTTGTGTATTTTATTCTTTCCCTCCAGAGTTTTGTGCGGTAGACTTGGCTCAATGATAAGGATTCACCTAGTGTACTCAAGACCCTGGATTGGATGGTTTGTTTGCATCAGTGAAAATACATACTATGCCTGTGTTAGAAGTTAATAAAATTCAGCTGTTAAGTAGCTCTTCCTATCAAAAAGCTAGGCAGGCTGGTTTCTAAATTGCCAATACACAATAGGAACAGTCAAAGATGTGTGAAGATGGCAATTAAAAAGCGTTTTTCAAAGACTCAGCTTATGTTGTGAGAAGAAGCTATGGAAATGGCAAGAGCCTTCTTCCATTTATTCAACAACGTAAAAGCCTCAGAAATAACACTGTTTTTCTGCCTGTAATGGTAAGTACTAGAAAGGAAACAAAATGTTTACTGTTTTCTTTCTTTCCTTTGATTTAACTGTAGAAATGGTTCAGGTTAATGAATCTCTGTTTTATTAGACATTTATATGAGCAATAACCTTAGTTTGAGTTATGTGGGAGACTGATTTATTGAAAGAAAAATAACAGATTGGGTAGAAATAGTGTGAAAAATGGGACCAGTATAATGTAATGGGTTCTATAATTTGTTGTGTGACATATTCTAGCTTTATATATAATGGATATTCAACCATAACTGAATGGAAAAAATATCAGTGTCTTTTAGAAAGACTGTACAAATTAAGTCTTAACTTTCATAGGAAAAAATTCCATTAGAAACCTAAGGGAAAACATAACCAGGAAAAAAAAAATGCATCTTTCAGACCTCTTCTTTGGGTAAGGTAAACACCACAGTCTACATTTCCTTAAGCTGACACAGGTGGACATACCATTGGATTTAGGAACTATTTGTTTGTTTGTTTGTTTGTTTGTTTTTTTAGGTTTTTTTTTTCTTGGAACAATCTTTAATTTATTCTGGATAATAAATTAATTTTTTTATATTTTTGACATTTTTTTGATAATATTTAGGAAATAAAGTCTCTAATTAGTGCCATGCTGTTCTGTTTATAATAATTTTACGTAGATTTTGCTGCTGGGTTTCCTGTGCAACTTAAGGTAAATAAAACAAACATCTCCATCAAAATTAGAAATCTAAACAACTTCAAATTAATTTTAATTAATGACTACCTAGAAGAGCAAGCTTTCTTTATCTTATCTTTCAGATTTTAACAGGCTTGGATTATTAAAGGGACACTAGAAAACATGTCTTTGTAAGAATATATGCTGATAAACTGTATGTGTTCATGAATATAACAATTTCAGGAAATTCAGTTATGCAGAGACACTCGACTGTAATCAATTGTAAGTAGGTATATATTCATAGGTCTTTAAGAACCTTTAATAATGCTGTATGACCTTGCTATGAAGAATAATCCTCTTGAGTTGTATCTTTTTATAAACAGCTTTACTGAAATGAAATTCACATATACACTTGACCTATTTAAAGGGTGAGGTCCAATGGGTTTTAGTTTGCTTAAAGTTCCAGCCATCAACACAATTATACAAGGAAACACTCAAGCCATGCTTGTAAGTATAAGGAAATAATTGTGGAAGGATTTGGCTCTTTCTGTAAAGTGGTAATATACACAGCTTACCATTGTGGGTAATGTTGACATAGAGTCTTCAATACAGTTGCAACGTTACAATTATAGAGCATGCTCCTCATATGTATTAAGTGGCCTTTACTGGAAACAGACTATTGTGGAATAGATTAGTGACGATTACATAATACAACACTGAAAGTTGAGAAGTCTTTAAGGGTAACACACTGTTTATTTACGATGTAGAAGCAACAGTCTAGTCATCTTTAAAGATGTGTGTGTGTATGGGTGTTTTGCCATCATGGATTTGGGCTACATGTGGATATTGAGAACTGAACGTGATCCTCTGCAAAAGCAACAAGTGTTCTTAACCGCTGAACCTTCTCTCTATCTTCTCAACTTACTTAGAAACTAAAGAAACTTAGAAACTAAAGTCCCATCCAAACTCAGTGCACAGTGATCACTTCCTAAAGAACTCTAGGGACACATAAACTTCCTCTCTTCTGGGAAACCCAGCCAAGAAGGCAAAGAAGAAGATCTCTGAAATACTTTGCAGTTATTTTTCTGCATAAAACCTAGTAGTTTAGGTGTGGGGCCTGATGGCACCAGCTGCTAAACCCAGCACTGTGGAGGTAGAAACAGGGAAGCTGTCTTGGAGCCTAGCCTGGACTGCAGGAGGAATTCTAAGCTGGGTTTAGTTACATGGTGAATCCCTGTCGAACCACAGGAAAGATATTCATTGAATTATTTGTCTTTTCATAATTGCCATTTCCGGGTCTTGGCTGCCTCTATAACCAAACTTATGTTTTGTGCATTTTTATGAAACTAAAAACAAGACATAAACAGTAACCATGAACCTTACCTAGTGAGTAATTTCATCCTAAAGGGTGGTATTAGCTCTTCATTAATGGACACCAAACCCAACTGGGATCCTTAAAGCCACTATTGGAGAAAGCATTAAATGTTCAGTGACAGGACTGGTCCGTGTCCAGCTACATTTATCAACGTTTGTTACTGACAGGAGAAATCCATGATGATTGAAATTATTAGATTACTTTCTTTGGAAAAAGTGATTGTACAGATATAAAAGATTCAAAACAAAAGCAACCTGACAAGGAGCATAGCCCTCTGAGAATGTCAAATCTAATTCTAACAGTTATGAATTAAATTTTGCATTGCCTGAAGTTACTCTCATCCTATTGGGTAACTGTTTTCTCTAGAAATATAATTGGAAAAATAAATGAAGAAGAAACTAAGACAGTAAGAGTATATAATGAAAAACTTTTAAAAGCATCAAAGGAAGTTACTCATTAGATAGTCCTGACACTGTAATCCATCCAGTATGGTCAAATGTAGGACCATTTAGTCTCATAAGATCTGTGCCTTCTGGCATAGGTATAACCCATCTTTTTTTATTATTCATGTGCATTGGTGTTTTGCCTGCATATGTATCTGTGTGAGGATGTTGGATCCCCTAGAACTGGAATTACAGTTGTTAGCTGTCATGTGGGTTCTAGGGATTGAACCTTTGTCCTGTGGAAGAGAAGCATTTGCTCTTTACCACTGAGCCATCTCTCTAGCCACAGCTGAGATATTTCTAATGAAAGACAATATGGCTGCATGTTGAATCGCTGTGCTGTAAATTAGCATATTTTGAACTACAAAAAAGGCTGTAAGGCGCAGCAAGGATGACTGATGACAATTTTTATTCAGGCTACTGTCTGTTTCTGGCAATTGTAAGACTGAAGCAGTCTCCTACTACAGCTATCGGGAGTGAGAGAAACACATTAATAAATGTAATCTGCCATGAATCTCGACACCTAGATGCAAAGGCATTTGGCGCACATAGATACACACCCCCCCCCCCCCCCCCCCTTCAGAAACAGAATCTCTATAGCTCTGGCTGTCATGGAACTATCTACAAATATCAGGCTGGCCTCAAACTCACAAGAGATCCACTTTATTTATTCCTAAGCTAATCAGGAAACTACTACCTGTGCAGTAATCCAGAGTGAATGTCAAAGAACTTAAGTAGAAATAAGTTCTATTCTTTTGAGACAGGGTATCTGTACATAGACCTGGCTGTCCTAGAACTCCCTAGGTAGACCAGGGAGGGTGACCTCAAACTCACAGAGATCCTCCTGCCTCTTGCCTCTCTAGTGAAGTAAATTTTAAGAGTATACTTTATTTACTATGACAGAATTGCCTTAAAAATTATTTGATATAGGAAGTAATGCTCTGGTAACATTGGATATATTAAAATAAGTATGCTGATTAGAGTCAAACTGAAGTATTTGTCAAACCATTTCTACTGCTGTAGTCATGGTGGGTGAGTCTACCTGTGACCACCATTGATCTGCAGAAAGCTGGTTTTGTTACTGTGTAGGCTTTAGCAGTAGAAAGATGCATTTGAGTCTCAGTTCCATATGATGTTGACATTCATTCTGGGCTTTGACTTACAAAAACCATATACCTACTTCGCTGTGTTTTTCAAATTAAAGTGTGTGGAAAAGTGATGTTCTGAAAGGCAGTATTGTGTAGTAATTCAGGACACAAACTGAACTAAAAACAACTTTTTGCAGTAGGATCCACTAAATACTAAAATTTACCATTTTTTAAGCATTAAATTTATTTTCTGTTTGAATCGGTGTTCCTTTTAACTGTCATCAATACTTTATTTAGTGATGCCTCATATATAAAATCTCTGCATAATTTAATTTACAGTTAATAGAAAGACTGCCCATTAAAGATTGAAACAAGGAAAACACCTGAGAATATAAGTGTACCCATTTTGGGGATAGGATATGCAGATACCTAAAGTTGTGCAGGTGAGGTAGCCTGCTTAAAGAATGGCAGGTATATGGGAGCTCCAAAGTCTTTAGTGGAAAGAATTGTTTAGTGTCTGGACTGTTCTTTCCTGCACTGACTGTGATAGAATAATCAGTCTGAATATAGTCTGAATCAGTCCTTTAAAATATTCTGGCACACTACTAAGTCCAGCAATAGAGAGACAGAGGCAAACAGATCTCTTGAGTTCAAGGCCAGTATGGGCTACATAATAAAATCCTATCTCACAAAACAACAGAAAACACTTACATGAATAATTTGCCACCAAAGTTAGACTTTGCAGTATAGGTGGTTCTAATTCACTTGAGACCCCTACCCCTACCAGACACCTGTATTGACCCTATGGCTTTGTGTTTGCAAGCTGCTTTACCACTGAGCTTTATGTGCAACCCTCTTTCTACTTTTTCAGTGAGTCTTATTAAATTGCCCAGGTTAGATCCCAGTATGTCTCATTCTTGTTACAATTCCAAGCAGATGCCAGGGTATTTGGTATTCAGTGATGAATATAGTCCAGCCCCATAAGTGTTGTTTTGATTCATCGAGTTGGTATATCAGGGTTAATTCATGTGTTATTAAAACAAAGGTGCTGGGTGTGGTGGGACAATTTTAATCCCAGTGGGAGTGACAGTCTTCAGATCTCTGAGTTCAAGGCCAGCCTGGTCTATAAATTGAGTCCAGGAGAGCCAGGACTACACTGAGAAACCCTGTTGGGGGGGGGGGTAGAATCAGTATTTTATGAACAAAGTTTGGACCAATAGTAAATTTTTTATTCAGTGAACTGAATACTGAACTCAAGGACAGGAGGTAAAAGGATGCCTGTGCCTAAGTCATGAGATTTTAAATACATTATTAAATACATGAGATGCAGTGCATTGAATTCAGAAGAAAGTAATCAAAAATCTTAAGACTAATTGTTACAGAGAATACCTCAACCAGTGTCCAGCATATTACCTGTAGCAGTATTATAATAAAATGTCACTTCAGTTGAGACAATCATGGTTACTGCTAATGCAATTTTACATTAAGATATTTTTCTTTATTATAAAAAGTACAAATAAAAGCACACTAAACATGCTGGATAGTGGTCACCTTTAATCCCAGCACTTGGGAGGCAAAGGCAGGCAGATCTCTGAGTTCAAGAGGCCAGCCATGGCCACACAGAGAAACCCTGTCTCAAAAAACAACACATAGACACACACACACTGAAATTTACCAAACTCCATACATATGAAATCTATATTTTGATTATTTCCTCTCCCAAATTACATTCAGATTTTTAATAGAAGTTACAAAAAGTAAAAGTAACTAATAAGTTTTGGGCTATCTATAACCCCCTGATTTAAAACCTTTTTTCAATATTTTTAATAGAATAGAACCTTATGTTAATTGGTAATCTCATGTGTGTAAATAATGTAACTTAAAACTTAATTCTAAGATGCACAGTGATGGCACATGCCTTTAATCCCAGCATTTTGGGATGGTGGTTGTAGAAGCAGCCCAATCTCT